AATGATTTTTAGTCATAGGCTTGGAATGACTATATCCCACTCTTGAACAACCACAATATACATTAATGTGTTCAAAGTTCTCAGAAGTCCTAACATTTAAAAAAAAAAAAAAAAACAACCTAAGTTTAGAATCCATCACTCTTTTTTTGTTAAAAAGTTAAAAAACTGTCCAACTCTATTGGACTATTTGAAGTTATTTGAACACAGCTGGCCTTCTTAATGCTGCAAGTAGATTTATTCAAAAATTTCAATGACAGATATTCAAGGAACATCTAACTTTTTATATAATTATAATTTAAAATTGGATTATCTTAGGTATTTATACAAGGCATTCAGTAATTACTGGGTTGAATTCAGAACTCATTCTAATTTATTTCGTTTGTTACTTGGCTTCACCATTCTACATTCTTTTACTCAAAGCAAAAATCTCATTTCCACTTATAAATTAATGTTTTTATGTAACTGTTCGGGTTCCTAGAATAGATGTATATAGTTTTGGGTTTTAAAAATAACTTTCTTTACCTGGAAAGCTACAAGTGTATTTTACTCTTGAACTAAACTAACTTATATGGGACAGGTTTTACTGAACCAAATAAATTATGTCTTCTAGAAAGTATTGGTGTTTTAGAAAATCATTTAGTGAAATCAAATTTTTTATTCAAAAAGTATTATAAATACATTGTAGAAAATTTAGGAAATAAAATTACAAAAGAGCATTTCAAAATTGTATCCCTTGGAGATAATCCATTAACTTTCTGGTATATATACTTTGAAACTTTATGTATAGGGGATCCCTGGGTGGCTCAGTGGTTTAGTGCCTGCCTTTGGCCCAGGGCATGGTCCTGGAGTCCCCGGATCGAGTCCCACATCAGGCTCCCTGCATGGGGCTTGCTTCTTTCTCTGCCTGTGTCTCTCATGAATAAATTAAAAAAAAAAAAAACTTTTTGTATATATCTGTACAGCAATGCACAGATATGTACATACACATTCATTTATTCAGCAAATAAACACTATGCTTTGTGTCCAGCACTGTTTTTTAGGGTGGCTATTTAGCAGTGAACAAAATAGACAAAAATCCTTGCTTTCATGCTGTTTAGATTGGGATGGTGGAGAGAAAGTGGATAGGAAAGGGTGACAACAGTAAACAAGTAAATGACATGTCAGAGGATGATAAGAGCTATGAAAGAATAAGGCAAGGAAAGGAATAAAAGAATATAGAGAGGATTGATTCGTATATATATGCTCATCTACTTTAAGATTTTTTTATGAATGTGTTTATGTTCAGTTGTGTCTTTTTCTTTTAAAAGAAGATTAATACCAATATCTTGAACATAGAGTTTTCAGGTCTTTTTTACTTAATAAATTGATGGGTTTTTTTCCATATCATTAAATATTATTCTGAACCATTTAAATTGGAATACACATATTCCATTTTATAGAATGTGGTCTATTGTCTATATAACCATCAGGGCAATCTTTTAAAACCTTATAGCCACTCTTGCTCTTAGTAAAAGGACATGACCAGTGACTGACTCTGCATGATCTGGTGCTCATCCCCTGAGCAGGTAGCATCTGCTATTCTCCCCTCTCACTCACACTGCTCCAGCCATACTGGCCTATGTTTGGTCCTGACACACATGGGAGAGAGTAAATAGGAGTATTTAATAAAGTTGCACCCCAGTTGTTGGAGAATATTTTTGCAAGACCTAGAAGAACCTAACCATAGATATTGTTTATTATATGTACTTAGGGTCCTTAATACCCTATTCTTCTTTATCTTTTTATTATAAGAATTTTCTAACTTAGAGAAAACCTTCATAACTATGTTATGAACATAGTTCATGAACTACTCTCAGCCTAGATTCCAAAATTAATGTTCTGCTGTATTTTTTCTTATTCTAACAAAATGTTTTTATAATTGAACCATTTGATGAGAGTAGTTGTACTCATGACACCACCCCTATAAGCCATGTATTAAGGGGAAATCATTTTCTTAACTGTTAAAAATAGGAAATTTTGTGAAATATTTTATAAAACAACTACAAGTAAGGTTTTGTTTTTTTTTTTTTTTTTAAAGCAGTAAGTCTTCACTCTGTTATTAATAAAAATTTGAGTCCACAGTTTTGGAAAATGGATAAAACCATAAGGAAAAAATTCTTTCTACAGAACACTTCATACTAAAGAGAATATAAATGGTAACTATTAAGCAAATGGAATAGCTTTTCTAATAATGAAAGATCTATATTTGCTACCAGATGTTGGATAATTAGTAGATCTCAGGCATTTTATCTTAAGCACAATTCCATATGGTAGGTACACATTGTACATTTACAGATAGTAAAACATACTGAGATAAGTATCTTATCTCCTGTCCTAAAGTCCTAGAGCTACTAGGCTATCAAGCCAACATCCAAATCCAGAACACTCTTGATTACCAAAGTCCATGTTCTTAACCAGCATAATATATTGCCTGTAAAAATCAAAATACTTTAGAGGTCCCACTTCACACCTAGAAAGTAACTTTCTTTATGGTTCATCTAGAAAAATAAATGAGATAGCCAGGAATATTCTGAAGAAGAATTACAAAGGAAAAATTGCATTACTAGATAATAAAATGTTGTATGAGGCTACACTTTAAAAAAAGTTAAATACTGGCTTAAGAGCCAGTTTGGGTAGAGTAGGAAAAAAGACTTAGGAATGCTGCCAAGTGCAAGGGGAATTTATTCTATGATATAGGTGCATTTTTAATTATTAAAGAGAATAGATTTTACGTATGACACTAGGACAAGTGGCTTGCCATTATCTCTCCTTATACAAAGAATAAAAAGATAAACCATATTTTTCACGTGTTCACCTACACAAAGAAATGATAATAGATTAATTATTCTAAATTAGGGACAAAATGCAAATTAAGAATAAGGTGCCTTGCTTTCCCACTCCCTCCTTGAGTTTGACATGTATGTAGGGCAAAGGTCAAAAAAATTTTTTCTTGACATTTGAGGGCATCTGAGAGTAGAAAAAGTATACATGTGACTGACTTCTCAGCTGGAGTTTACAGAAGCATCCTGTGTCAATAGTTAAGGGCCAGTAGATAAAACAACATAGTATACCAAAGTATAAGAGGATACATTTAGCCATTAGGGAGCCTGAATCAAAGATCAGATTGAGTTATAAAAAAGAAAGTATTTGTTTACACCTAGTTTGTGACTATATAATTTATACCTGATAGTAAGTATGACAAAAATCACAAATGAAAAGATTAATAAATGTGACTAATAGAACTTTCTTGCATAGACAAGAAGTGCTTCAGGAAAATATTTGGAAAATTTATTACACAGGGCCAATTTCCTTAATATTAAAAAGGAAACAATCTATTTAAGTGTCAAGAAAAAAGTAGCTCTTTTGAAAATGAACAAACAGCAACAACATTTAAGAAAAAATCATTATAAAAGAATTAACCTAAAGTGACAAGATGGATGATTTTAAAATTTAAAAGAGTCAATAAGATACTACAAGGAGGACACGCCTATGTAGTATATAGTCAGTTAAGCATCCAACTTCTGGTTTTGGCTCAGGGTAATTAGATGGAGCCAGCCCCATGTGGGGCAAGATTCTCCCTCTGCCCCTCCTGCTCATATGCTTGTGTGTTCTCTCTCTCTCTCTCTCTCTCTCAAATAAATTAATCTTTTTTTAAAAAAAGTATTACAAAGAATGGTAGTGTATGTTGTGGGACCCTCATATGCCCTTTGTGGACTTTTTTGTAGTTGTCCTACAGATGCTTCACAAATCCACAAAGATGTGTTGTATTTAACAGTACAGGTGTGACTTTTGTAGCATTCAGGGAGAAGAGTAGGCATTCAGGTTGTTTCCAGGAGATTTTTTTCCTATCAATTATGTCTGGTTAAGTAAATTATGGTACATCCATATAATGGAATACACTGCAGCTGTCCTAAAAATTGTAGTAAAAGTACAGTGTAGAAAAAAGATCTCCAGGATGTATCTAGTGAACCAAAGCCCTAGGTATAAAGCTCTATAATATGTTGCATTGTAGAATTTTGTCTGACTTTTAAATCCTATTTGAAATTATAATTTTTAAAAATTAAAACAGAGTACTTGGGAGGACTGGAATTTTCTGTTTTCATATCATTGGAATATTTTTTGTCCTTGAATTTGTATTTTATATATTTTACCAAAAATTCTGTGATGATAGGGCTGAGAGAGAACAGATATTTTTATGGCAGCTGGTGGTATCACAAACTGGTAAAATCTTTCTGTGTGGTGACTAAACCAAAGCTTATTCGAATAACTGTTACATGCCAGGCATTATACGAAACTTTTTATGCACATTCATCTTACTTAAATCTCCAGCCCTAAAAAGTAGATTTTTTTTCTCATACTATAGGAAACAGAAAACTAAGGTGTCTCTCTAGTAGTTATAGACTTTGAAGCCTGTACTTTCGACCCCTACACTAGGTTCTGGAAATGCTTAAGGGATTATCGAGACAAAAGACTGGATTTGAATGTGTCAGTTTCATCAACTAAAAATGAAGAGGATACTCTCTGCTCTTATTTGAAAAGATTGTATTAGTTGATTTGTATGAAAGTGCTTTCCAGATTCATGAAGCATTCTATGAAAAGATTAGAATTTTTTTTATCCATAGCCTGGTTTCTTCATACAAATATAAATATTTTAACTCTTTGAATCTCATCTGTAAAATAGAAACTTAAAGTTAACAGTTGAGGCAGTTTTTTTGAATCTTTTGTATAATTTAATTCAATTTTTATGTAGTACATTTCTTAAATTGAGGAAGTATACAGTGAATCTAACAAAACCTTATTTCTACTTAAAATGTTTTTACTACTAATTGTATTGTTAGCATCCTTTCAAGGGTACAGTCCTTTCAGTTTTAAAACACATGAACAAAAATGTCTTCATGAGGCTATACATTCTGTTTGCTATTTTTAAAATACATAAACTTAACTATTTATTCCTGTTTTAGGAACACCATCTTCAGCGGGCTATTTCAGCACAGCAGGTGTATGGAGAGAAGAGGGATAATATGGTCATACCAGTCCCAGAGGCAGAAAGTAATATTGCCTACTATGAGTCTATATATCCTGGGGAATTTAAGATGCCAAAGCAGCTCATTCACATACAGCGTAAGTAATTACTCTTTTCATGATTATATTTTCTATAGTTATTTTCTGCTTAACTCTTGACATGTTTTTACCTTTTCAAGATCATTTTCGGTATCCGTTTTATTGACCAGCATCACCTAGAGAGTTACCAGAGGAGTCTATTTTCAGCTTTTAAAATGGAGATTTCTGCCTGACAGAAATGATAGCATTTTCATCTTACGCTTTTAAAAACGTTTCATTTCAACATGTGCTCTTAAACTACTTTAGACAAATAGGATAAATAATATAACTCAGATGTAGAAATGATTTTCTTACTTTTCAGAAATAGTGATATGAGTAGCCTTAAAGAATTTCTTAGTAAAAGAATCAGCAAACTTTTTAAAAAAGGATCAGATGGTCAAATAGTATATAACTTAGCCTTTTTGGGTCATTCATTCTGTCACAACTATTCAGCTCTACTGTTGAAAGAAAGGCAGAATCAGCAGTTGACAATATGTAAACAAATGAACATGACTATGTTTCAATAAAACTTTATTGAGAAAAACAGATAGCAACCCATTGTTGGCCCATGGACAACAGTTTGCCAACCTCTGATTTGTGATCCGATCCTACCAATTTTTAGTGTTCTAGGTAGTAACTTATTTCACTTGGTAGTGATGAGTTCTTCATTAGTAATGATCCTTTGATGCCTGTCACATTTGATGATGAATAGCTGAGAGCTTGTAAAACTTAGAGAATGCATTTCACTCACTCAATCCCCAAGTAGTTGACAACTCTAAAACGTAGTTTAAAGTTTACTAAGGTAAAATTGGTACAGCCTTCATTATAGTGTGGTTGACTTTTCTGATTAAGAGGTCTTTCCAGCCACCTGTCTAATCTTTTTTCAGGACCATGTAAATTGATGGGTTTTTTTTTTTAGGAATTACTGTAAAACTAATTAACTGTTTTTTTCATTTAACCTTTTCTTCGTATGATCTAGTTTCTGTCCTAGATTCTAAACATTTATTTTACTATTTATTAAATACGAAAATCCAAAAATATAGTGTCTGTATTGTCTCTTATCAGTACTGTGTTGGCATTTGATTTTTTTTTTAAGATTTTATTTTAAAAAAAAAAAAGATTTTATGTATTTATTCATGAGAGATACAGAAAGAGAGAGGCAGAGACATAGGCAGAGGGAGAAGCAGGCTCCATTGAGGAGCCTGACGCGGGACTCAGTCCCAGGTCTCCAGGAACACGCCCTGGGCCAAGGCAGGCACTGAACCGCTGAGCCACCCAGGGATCCCCAAGGGAGAAAATTTTTTAATCAGGGTACATTTGAAGTGTGTTGTCTCAGAAAGATATGTACATTGGAATATTAATCAAGATAGTCTGCAAATTAGTGTTGGTGTTAGCTGCCACTGAGTTTCTTTTAATTTTTTGTTTTAAATAATTATAAATTCAAAGGACAATATATGTGCCTTTGTATACCTCAATCAGGATAACTCAACTGTACCATCATATATATATATATATATATATATTTCATAAATATAACAGAATCATGCAGTGTATATCCTTTGTGATTGGCTTTTTTCACTTAGCATTGAAGTTCATCCAACTTATTTCATATAATATAGATCATTCCTTCTTATTGGTGAGTAGTATTCCTTAATATGTTTATTTAACCATTGACCCAGTGAAACACATTTGAGTAGTTTCCAGGCTTTGACTATTAGAGATAAAGCTGCTATGAACATTAATGTGCAGGCTTTTGTGTGAACATAAGTTTTATATCTCCTGGAATAAATACCTATGAGTGCAGTTGCTGGGTCCGTTTTTAGTTTGACAAGAAATTCTACGGTATTTCCGAGAATACCTATGCTGTGTTACGTTATCTCCCAGCAGTGTATGTGTGACCCAGTTTTTCCTGTATTCAGTATTTGGGGTTAGCACTTTTTTACTTTAAGCATTCTCATAGGTATGCAGTGATCTCTTATTATACTTTAAATTTGTATTTCTCTAAATGGCTAATATGTTAAATATCTTTTCATGTGTTTATTTGCCACCTATATATCCTCTGGTGAAGTGATTGTCCTTGTGTTTGCCCATTTTCTAATTAGATTGTTTTTAACATTGAGTTTGAGTATTCTGTTTTATATATTCTAGACCCAAAGTCTTTGTCATATATGTGATTTAGAAATATTTTCTCCCAGTATACAGTTTGTCTTTTCATTCTCTTAACAGTCTGTCATACAGCAGAAACTTATAATTCTGATGAGATCCGGTTTAATCAGTTTCCTCTATGGATCATGATTTTGGTATCAACTCTTAAGAACTCTGCCTTTCCTGGGTACAAAAGAGTTTCTCCTGTGTTCTATTCTAGAAGTTTACAGTTTCACATTTAAGTGTATCATCAGTATTTGAGTGTGTGAGGTCAAAGGATTTTTGTTTTTTGGGTTTGGTTTTGTTTTTTACTCCTGGATGTGCAGTTGCCCCAGCATCATTTATTGAAAAAGCCATCCCTCCTCCATTGAGTTGCTTGTTTCTTGGCCAATAATTAATTAGGCATATTGATACGGATCTATTTCTGGGTTCTATATTCTCTTCCCTTGATTTCTGTTCATTCCAAGATGGTACCACTGATTTGATTACTGCAGCTTTTAATAACCCTTAATATCAAGGAGAGTCATTCCTTCTTTATTTTTCTTTTTCAAAATTGTATTGGGTATTCTAAGGCCTTTCCATATAAATATTACAATAAGCTTGTCAGTGTCTACAAAGAAGCTTGCTGTGGGACGCCTGGGTGGCTCAGCTGTTAAGCATCTGCCTTCAGCTCAGGGTGTGATCCTGGAGTTCCGGGGTCGAGTCCCACATCAGGCTCCCTGCATGGAGCCTGCTCCTCCCTCTGCCTATGTCTCTGCCTCTGTGTGTCTCTCATGAATAAATAAAATATTAAAAAAAATAAGAAACTTGCTGAGATTTTGATAGGAATTAGATTAAACCTATAGATCACTCTAGGGAGAACTGACATCTTTACTGTGTTGAGTCTTCAGTCCATGACCACAGTATGACTCTGCAGGTATTTAGGTCTTCTTTCATTTCTTCCATTAACACTTTATAATTTTCATCATACATATCCTGTATATGTTTCTTTAGGTTTATACCTGTGTTTTATTTTCTTTGGAGCAATTGAAAATGGTATTGCACTTTTTATTTTGGTTTCCAATTGTTCGTGGTCAGTGTACAGAAATGCAGGTGAAATTATTTATCTTATACCCTATGGCCCTAACTGAAATTGCTTATTAGTTCTAGGCGTTTGTAGATTCTTTGGGATATTCTACATAGAAAATCATGCAATTAGAGACAACTTTATTTTTCCTTTTCATTATTTCTGTCTTTAATTTATTTCTTCCATTATAGTGGCTAAAACTTCAGTATTGTTAAAATATAAGTGGTGAGAGCAGACATCCTTTCCTTGTTCTTGATGTTAGAAGGAAATAATTAATAATAATTAAGTCTTTCACCATTAAGTATTATATCCCCTGTAAGGTTTTTTTTTTTTTTTCACATATATGAAATTGTCATATATGTGATTTGGAAATCTTTTCTCCTAGGGTATAGTACCTTTTCATTCTCTTAACCAACTCTTTCACAGAGCAAAAGCTTTTTGCTGAGATCCAGTTTATCAGTTTTCTTCTTATGGATCGTGATTTTTATTCTTAGCATACTGAGAGTTTTTATCATGAATCAGTATTCAGTTTTGTCAGATGGCTTTTTCTACATCAATGGGTAGCATGGTGTGATTTTTTTTCTTCTTTAGCCTGTTGATAGGATAAGCTATTATATTGGTTGATTTTCAGATATTGAACCAATTTCACATACCACCTGACTGTAGTATATTATTTTTTTTTAAATTTATTTATTTATGATAGTCACAGAGAGAGAGAGAGAGGCAGAGACATAGGCAGAGGGAGAAGCAGGCTCCATGCACCGGGAGCCCGATATGGGATTCGATCCCAGGTCTCCAGGATCGCGCCCTGGGCCAAAGGCAGGCGCCAAACCGCTGCGCCACCCAGGGATCCCTGTAGTATATTATTTTTAAATATTTTGTTGGAGAAGATTTTAATTGTGGAATTTTGCATCTAGGTTCACGAGAAGTAGTTTGGCTGTCTGTGTGTGTGTGTGCACGTTTGTGTGTTCTGTCTTATTTGGCTTTGGCATCAGAGCTATAGTGACTTCATAAAACAGGTTGGAAAGTGTTCTTACTCTGTTTTCTGGAAAAAATGTATAAGATTTATGTTAATTCTTTAAAATTTGATATTGGCTTTTAATATACTACAATAAATAAAAAATAGAGTATAAATTTCTGCAAAGTTAAAATAGAATTTTGACTGCTAGGTGGTCTAATAAATCACTTATGACAGGGCAGCCCGGGTGGCTCAGCAGTTTAGCGCCTCCTTCAGCCCAGGGCCTGATCCTGGAGACCTGGGATCGAGTCCCATGTTGGGCTCCCTGCATGGAGCCTGCTTCTCCCTCTGCCTGTGTCTCTGCCTGTGTCTCTGCCTCTCTCTCTCTCTCTCTCTGTCTGTCTGCCTCTCATGAATAAATAAATAAAATCTTTTTAAAAAATTCGCTTATGACATAAATATGGACTGATTCATTTTAGTTCCCTTAATTTCTATTTTGTGAAGCTCTTAAGCTAATAATGTTATGCAAACTCTTCTTGAGAGTTTTTAAGGTGATAACTAGTATTCTCTAAGAAAGGAATGGTCAGACACGTTTGAGAATAATTCCACATTTTTACTCTCTTACCTACCGCCAGAGTCATATGCATATTATATTTATAGGCTCTGAGAATCTTGTGGTTTTTTTTTTAAAAAAAGGCAAGTTTATTTTTAATCTAGCATTTTCCAATTGTATTTATTACATGTTCTCTGTTAACATTTAATTGAACATTAGTTTGGAAAAGTTCAACTCTATCCTTACTTCAACTGACTTGGAGAAGATATCATAATTTTCTTTATTTTATCCAATCAGAG